TGTACTCAAGGAGGTCTTTAGAAATGAACCTGAACCCATGCCATGAAGGTTAACCTTGCAGAGCACTGTGCTTTACCATGGTATCACCATCCAGTCCCTATTACAGCTTTTTTTATTTTTACTTTATTAGAGATTTTTGCTATAGGGCATATGCACTTGCCAAAGAGACAGAGAAACAGAAAGTGAGAAATCACCCCCCAAGAGGATGGTCATTCCACAATCTCTTCTCCTCCAGTCTCCTCAAGAGATTTTGGGCATGCATGCACATGTGCCTGGCGTGAGTTTTAAGCCACTGGGTCTGGGACTATGTGGGAATCCAGCAATATAACCATTAGGCCATCTGCTGGTCCTTCAATTAAAGTTTTTAAAGCAAACCTTTGTGGATCCCTTTAATAAAGATTAAGAACATATATATAGGATACATAGATTATATGTGTTCAATACTGTAGCCTTACTCATGCCATAGGGGTGAGGTCAACATCATGAATCTTCGTTCTAAAAAGCAACCAATGGCTTTTTAGCACTTTGGTAAAGGCCCATCAAGTATTGTACTTGACCTTTTCACAGCACCTGGTCTTTTATAGTATTTACTATCCCTGCTAAACAAAAGTATTTGCTACATATAATGGAGTGAATAGAATCAGCATGAATAAGAACCCAATCTCTTGTCTACTGTGAATGCTACTCTAGCCAAATCACAAGTAACTTAACTCCTGCTTTACCACATGTAATATAAGAGGATCAAATGAGCATCTAATTCTCACAATTTTGCTATGACAACTACATATACTCATTTGACAAATATTTATAGGTGCTAGGCATCAGGGTTATAAACATGATTAAGGCACCTAACATTTTGTTGAGGGATATATACAATTTCAATTACTGGCAAGTGCCATGAAAGATAACATAAGTGACAAAAGTTGCTCAGGGAAAGCTTCTAGAGAAGTGAGGTAAGTGGTGAGGCTTGAATGCTCAGGAGACAGTCACTTGAAATTCTGGAGGAAAAAGCACTCAAGGGAAAGGAACAACTGCAAAGACAATCATCTTAGTGACTTTCCTAACCTGTGATGATCATTTTTTCAAAACCTAGTTTAATACTTGTCCCCACTCAGTGGAGCTTTCTGTGATTAACTCTACTTTTACATTATGATATATATGCTCAATCTACATATTTATAATTTGTAGCTCTGCAAACATAATTAACTGATCTGTATTTATTCTAGTCTCATTTTCTGAGGAGAAAATCTTGGGATTCTCTACTCATCTTCCACAGTACCTCAGCAGCATTGTACATAGAGAAGAACGTTTATTAGCTAGTCCACTATAAAGGAATTTAGTATTTTGTTTCCCCTTTGCCAGAATAGGGTTTGCTTACAGATTACAGAATACTTCAGAAAGAACTAAGTCGACACTGTAAATCTACTGGAAAGGGCAACACTCTCATGACTCACGAGTGAGAAATCTCAAATTCAATTTCTGCCATTTACTTAGGCATGTGTCTTCTGGCAAATCAAACTCTATGATTACTTGTGAATATCTGTAAGATGGGGTTATCAATCATCTGCCCTGTCTACCCAGAATTAGCTGGGATTTAAATTCCACAGGAAAACATGATCACTCTCCTTAAAGAACTTGTAACCTTACTATGGAAACAGAGTGTAAACACTGGAAACAATGACTGTGTTTTCATTCTAGAACTGGAAGATATTTTAAATAAAAATCTTGCTCAATCTTTAATTTTATAGGAGAAATCACAAGCATAGAAAAATGAAGTGAGCTGCTCCAAACTGCAGAAATATATTACAGGGAAATCAGTGCAGCATCTAAATTTTATAATTACCCAGAAATATTCTTCACTGAGCCACACTGTTTTTATTACTTTCTGCAACCTCATATTCAAAGTTTAAATGTCCTAATTTATTCTATCACTCTCTTCACTCAGATCCAGAATAGTACATACTAAATGGCTTTTTTAAAAAAATACCTAGGTATATTTTTGAGGCTGAGATTTACATAATTTATTGTCAGAACTGAATTTAAGAAGTGCCATTACTACTGAGTCACAATATTAGAAAGGAAGGATTAAAATCTACTGATGTCTTAGAAATATGAATCTTCTAAATGACTATGTATTTGGGTGGTGGTTGAAGCTTTTAATCATAACTTTTAATTATACTGATATGTTGACTCAACTATATTGTTATTTGAGAAACAAAGAGTATGATTTTTCTTAATTTCTTTTTGGAGAGGTTTTTGCTATAGGGCGTGTGCGCCAGACAGACAGAGAGAGACAGAGAGACAGAAAGCGAGAAATCACACCCGGGGGGGAGGGGGGGGATGGCCATACTGCAATCCCTCCATTCTCCTCTTGGGATCTTGGGCACACACGCACATGCACCCGCGCGTGAGTTTAGGCCACCGGGTCCAGGACTCGAACTGCGGTTGACTATGTGGGAGTCCAGCGACATAGCCATTACGCTAACTGCTGGTCCCTGATTTTTCTAATTTTGAATGCACTATATATGCACCATAGAAAATATGAAAAAAATGTAAAGTAGTTTTTATTTCTGATCATCTTTCTGTATTCTCTTATTCATGATATAACCAAGAAACAGAGTCTAAATTGAGAAGTAGTTATTGAGTGTCCATGGTGCACTCTGGATTATATGACATTGTTCTAATGTGTGCAAATGAAAACTATAATGGAAATTATGAAATAGTTTCAGTATCAGAAAGGTCCAAATTCAATCTTTTTTTTTTTTTGAGAGGTTTTTTCTATAGGGCGTGTGCACTCGCCAGACAGAGAGAGACAGAGAGATAGAAAGTGAGAAATCACCCCCCAGGGGGGATGGCCACGCCGCAATCCCTTCTCCTCCATTCTCCTCTTGGGATCTTGGGCATGCATGCACACGTGCCCAGCGTGAGTTTAAACCACCAGGTCTGGGACGTGAACCGCGGTCGACTACGTGGGAGTCCAGCGACATAGCCATTATGCTAACTGCTGGCCCCCAAATCAATCTTTAATGCGAAAATAAACTATGTATTGAAAAAATGATCAAGAAAACCCTAAATGACTAGCTAATAATAGAAAAATCTACTCAGGAATATCCTAAACACACACACACACACACACACACACACACAGGAAAGGAAGATCTTAAAAACAAAAATCCTAACCAGAACTAAAATGGCTTTTGGAATAGAGCATCAAAATTATAAATGTCTCCTTAAGAACTAGCATTCTTCTATGAAGCAAGAATGTAAAAAGCTTTAGAAAATGTGTGCAAGAACTAAGTCTGTAAGAAACAAATGAAGTTAAGTTTGTGAAGGCATTTGGTAAAGCATGAAGTACAAGTTATTATTATATAACAATTTGTAGTCTATGAGCATAACAGTTCACCACAGAGTAGACGTGAATGCTTATTTAAAAACTGCAATTCTTGTATACTGACTCACTGAATTTTTATTCTTAAAAAAGAATGTTAGCCATGAAGGCTGGATCAGCTATCTACTTCTGAAAAAGGAATTTATCATAGCCTTAACAGAAACACAAACACGCACACACATACCAAAAAAATTTCCCTCTCTTTTTAAAATACAGGTCTTCTTTTAGCCACATGACCTTAAAGCAGGTCACTGTTCTTCTCTGGAACTAAGTTTCCCACTATGTCAGGCATTGTGTTGAGTACTTTGCATATATTATTTTATAGGATCTGTGATACAGATAAAATGCAAAAGAAATGATCATACACATTTAGAGTTAGGAAACTTGCCCGAAATCACATACCTAGTAAGTGGCATATCTGATACCTCACTCCAAACACCCTGTTCTTCCCACCACACTTCCTTGAAAAACAAGGATATTCTTGAATAATCTCTAAAGTTACTTGGTGTGATAATATATCATTTAGTAATCACTGTTCTTCAAAAACACGCACAGGGGGAAAATCTTATTTGCTGAATGCTAGTTAACTCACTACTTGTAACTTGCTTCTACCTAAAAGTAATTTTAGATCTTTAAAGTACAGAAAACTTTTTGAGAGTCTATTTCACTAGACATGGTTCTTTATGGTACATGGAATGCAAACTGTTTAATAAATTATAAAAATGATAAATAACTGTTAGATACTATTTTTAGTCTAAGCTTTAACAAGTTCTAAACCATTTCTAAAAAAATACATATACAGTTTCTAGTTTTCTAAATCTCGTGATCCTTAAAATCAATCTATCCTCTGTGACTCTGAAAAGCAGCAACGTATTAAAGGCACACTGAAAATAATTTGCCCTGAAATTACTTACTTCACAATAAAGAAGAGACATGGGTTTTTCTGACTGAGATTTCTGTCTGCTGTGACATTCTGATTGTCACTGAAATCATTAGTTATCTCTTCGGGATACGCTACTTTAAAGAACTTTTTCATCAGTCTGTTACTACTGGAGAAACTCATTTAAATTAGCACAATCGGAAACAAATATTTAGTCTTAAGAGCACTGTTCTATTGAATCGGAGAAGCTAAGACCCATTCGTATAAGGGGAAACACTTCTATGCTTGATCTATTAAGTTAACAAGCATTTATTGAGCATCCCCTACACGCCAGACACCAAGCTAGAAGTCAAACATAACACAATCCTTATCCCTTATAGAACACATCCAAGACGGCCACGGTCTTGGCTTACTACTTTCGGCTATATGAACTGGTGGACCATGCATGATACCCAACTAGTTCATTCTCCTGCTTCGGGTGACCCAAATCCAGGCACCAGAGTATCAAATTCAAACTCAAGAGCGCCGAAGTGGGAAAAAAGACAGTCAACCCGGAGCATCTGAGCTAGGGGAGTCCGCCCCACAGCCAATCTCTGAGGTGCTGTCGGGACTCCTGAGTGGACCCCACGAAGCACTGTCAATTAGAGAGATCTGGGAAGTGTCTTCAGAACCCAGATCAGTCACTGGCAGGGACAAGCCAGGAGCTGCGTCTCCGTGCCAGGCTTCGCTCACCTCTTCTACCTCGATCTCCTTGTAGTCGATCTCTTCAAAGTTGAGGACCTGGGAAGGGGCTTCAATCATCTCACCGGCCGAAGACGAGGAGGAGGAGGAGGCGGCGGAGGCTGTAGACATGATCCCTCACGGCGCCCGGGGGGCCCGGGGACAGTGCCTCCCGGACGATCCGGGTGAGACCCGTGCCCACCCACCTCCAGACCGACCTTCAGCCTGGAGCCGCAGAGCCCTGCCACCCGGTGATCCGTGGCAGGCGTAGGACCAGCTCCCA